GTTTTAATCCGATAAAGTTGTCTCATTCTAAAGTACAACACCTCTACAGGTATAAGTTATCTATAACCGCATTAGAGGCATGGGAACGTCGATATAATTATGCGTTCTAAGTCCTCGAATGTCAACGATAATAAACAGCAAGAGGCGATCGCATTCCGGTCGGGGCACGTCGCGCGTCGGGCATCGAACACGCGACCATTATACACCGCTAGCGTCAGTTAGCTGGAACGAATCGTGCGGAATATACAGAGCAGATACCGTTCTTGCTTGGACTTATAGACGTGGACACGCCGGAGCAAAGGAACCACGCAAATAGCACTTCTTAATATTAACTCAAGTAGTAATAACTATACTATGTAGTTGTATGTTGCTTGAATGAGGCGATCGTATGATAAAGTTTTGATGTCCATATACACAGTACTTTTTTGTCAAGTAGCATATTCAACGGTTGTGCAGTGCTTACCTTATGCTATCATGTACCGCTCGTAAAATTCAAACAAAATATTTGTTTTCTACTTAATACTGTTTTTTTAACTAAGCTGGCTAAATAAATAAAAAAAATGACATTTTGTCCAATTTTTTTTCAAAAAACAACATTTAACTTGTTTGATATGAATTAACATTAAACATAATTATTTTGTTTTGCTTAACAGGCTCTTTGAGATTTTCATAAAAAAAAATATTATGTACATTTTAAGTTAATATATTTAATCGAAGTGTTAGGAAGATTATAAGGTAATGTTGTGAGAAATAAATAAATATTTAATAAATAGATTTTCTACACCTTGTCTTTACAACGGTTCAATTCAATCCGTAACGAAGCCCTACACACATTGAATCCTTTTACTCAATAGCCAGTAGAAACATAAAAAAAATCATTGTCTCTTCTAGTTCTGTGTGGCTTCGTCTATTTCCACGCGTCGAATAAATGAATATTAATGTATACTTCCTAAGATGGCGGTGCGATAATTTATTACCTAACCATTTATCAGCTATGGAAAAGATTTAACTGCATTCTTCTTACGAGCTCATCGACCCACCTTCGAATCCATATTTATCATAATAAATACCTACTTTAAACTAGATATGTGTGTGTGTTGTGTTGAAATTCCGTTTTCCCTTAGTGGGCAATGTGTGCCCTAACTAATTGAAACTGAACTTTGATTTAAAGCCTCTGGCTTAATGCTGTGCTAATCAAAACGTTGAAGTATTGACCTAGAGGTGCTTCACACATTTTACACATAGACAAAATTTAGATATTTTTCGTCACTTATATTAAGACCAGATAAACATGGCACAGCACCACTAATTCTTTGTCCTGTTGATACTGGCACCTCTAGCGCAGGCGTGATTTTTAATTTATATAGTTTCATCATTTGAAAAACTTATTCTGTAGCTAATTTAGAGAACAACGGAAGTAGTCCGGTTAGTCTGCGAGTCGAAAAAATTTTCAATTTATTTTCGATTTTTAAATTATATAGTTTCAATAAAAAAATATTATTTTCAAACGAAATATATTTTACTAACTTAATTGCAATTCTCCGTTTTGCAGTATAAAAATAACTAATAGAATACGCGTGTTAAGCCGTTAAACGTGTTTTATTTAAATGTGTAGGTACTACTCGCGTAAACTACAATGATTCATCATTAGCCCTAAATTTAAGTATTTATTTCTACGAAAACGATCCCAATAATGACAAAAATAATTAAAATGCTAACGATACGACAGGCACAAGGAAAATTATAGTATCTTGATAATTTAGGCAAACAGAGCATCCTTGTACCACGTGGTCGGAATATAGTCGTATAGATCGTTCCAATTAATTTGATTGTCGCTCAAAATCATGTTCAATTGCTGAATAACAGTCGATGACTGAATTCTTATCTAACGAATTATTTTAAATTAGCAATGACATCATGCAGAGTCAGTTAAATAATGGCGAAATTGCAAAGAAAAAATATATAAGTATTACATTGAAACGAATATGTCTAGTGAAAATATTTACAACGCAAAAATAACGACATATTTCCGGCTTTGTTCTTAATTATCTCGTCTATCATTTATTATCAAGAGTAACATAGCGAGTCAATATTTTGATTTTTTAAAATAGTTATTTCTTTAATGATTTGATTGACATCGCGTTTTCTTTTTAAGATTACTTAAAATATAATTATTTTTAATATGACATCGTTTAGCATCCTCTTTAGTGATCTATACATATATTATAAAGCTAAAGAGGCTGCGCTAATCTCGGGAACCACCTAGTGGTAGTCCAAAAAAATATTTTTTGGTCAGCAAGACCGATGAAGGCTCTAGGCGACGGATAGCAGTGCAGAAACAGTGAAAAGTTATGAAAAATATGAATATGAAATAATGATGACTCTTTGAATGGTTGTCAATCCTTTAAGATTAGTCAAATTTGGTTGAAATGAATGCATTATTGCCAATTATTTGTTACAGTTGTATCAAAATAACAATATTAATCTTAAAAAATAATAAAACAACGTTTGACGGATCAACTAAGATAAAGATAAAACAGATAGAAATTTGCACGAGAAAATACGACCACCATATGGTTTCAGGATTATACAACGAAGAAATATTAACAAGTTAATCTTTTAATACATGCAGAGAAAACAATTGCCACAGAATATAATTGAATTGCACTAATCACATTAAAACTAATTCTAGCCTTGTACAGACCGACCTCACTGAACACGCAAACAATTAGAGCATGCTCTATGTTGCGAATAATCAGCAAATAGGGTTTTTTAACAAAGACATGTATACAAATTTAGTTACGCGTTACGTTTTTTATGCTTACCGCTTCGTTACGTAACGTTTTACGGCGCCAAACTGTCTGGCTTCCAATTTCAGTATTAAATAGTTTAACTTAAATAAGTGTAAGTTATCGCTTATGTTTTGTGGCTACTGAAGTTGAGTAGTTTTTTCCCGTCATAAATATAGGAAATTTAATATGTACTGTAAAAAACATAATTATATAACATTATAGGTACGTTTCCTACAATTGCCTTTTTATAAAAATGATGGGTAGTAACACGTCAACGCAAGGAATTGTCAACATAGATTCGGTAGTCTGGTTTCAAAACATTGTTCAATAGCTCCATTCATTAGAAGCCACACAAACAGGTGTTTACATTACTCTTCCTGCGCAGGCGGTTTAAGTCAACAGAGTGATTGATACATTAGTAAATATCCTCTAGAGTTTCCTGCAGAGGAATGATAGTGTCAATGAATGGAAGGTGCAAGAAAAAGTATTGGAAAACTTATTACACGTGATGCATTATATGAATTAAGAATCGGTTTGTAATTGGTTAGCTGTTAGACCAACAGCACAGAACACTGCGGATGCCGGTTTAAATCTTGTCCATATCGTAGTAAATACTGTCTATAGTTTACGCGAGTAGTACACATTTAAATAAAACACTTTAACGGTTTAAAACGCGATATATTTAAACTTATTGAAAATCATTTTTAACTTCGGCCCGACGTTTCCCCCTTTTTAGTCCCCGTGACCACGGCTGCTGCAAGTATAAGTTTAACTAATATATGCTGCTACAAGTATAAGTATAACTAATATATCGCGTTTTAAACCGTTAAAGTGTTTTATTTAAAACAACGTAGGTATGTTTTAGACGTCAAATTATAAATATTTGTGCACATTATCATTTTCACTTGAAAGAAGGAAATTTCGAGACGAATAGAATAATTTATTGATACTAAATAGATTTTTAATTTTCATTATTAAATTTGGATTTAAGTTTTTAGTACACACATTTTGATTAGATCACACTTTCAAATAACAATTATATTATAAAAAATTGTACAAAGATTGTCACATCTCATGCATTATGTTATCTCGATGCATATTTATCTATTGTGTGATAGTTTCACATGTTTCTGTATCTAAAACGTGGGTGTATCGGCAACTGATTCGGAACTAGTTGGTTATCTGACGAATACATTTATCAGTGGATATTTTAATGTCGTAACTAGTTTGATACTTCTTGTAAAACATAAACTGCTTTTTACCACAGACATCTATCTATTTATCGGTTTTTTTTTTAGAATTTTATGTTAAATGTGCTTTAAGGCTTCCTCACTAACAAACATAAACTCGACTAAAATAATGAATATATTTTAAATTATGTTTTCTTTTTAATGTGTCGATATCTACTTCGAATATTATCGAGTACCAAATAATCACTTGTCTCGCTCAATTGTACAGTCATCATTGTGATAGTGGTATCAACAATGGCGACATCTAGATCATTATTAAACAAACATTAGTCATTATCAACAATGCCATAAACCGTTGTTTCGCCGCCGCATCACCGCCGTAGGGATGTGTCTGTTCTTGCGTATGTAAGAAAAATTAAAAACATCGCATGCTGCTATTTATTGGCTTCAGTGTAACTTAGTCGTTCCCGGGGTCCTGGATCAATCGGTATTTAATTAGATTAAGACTCACGCGATATGGTTTTTGCTTTTCAAAGATTTTAATTGATTTCATTTCGTATACGGGTTGAATTGTGAGAGATTCAGAATAGCAAATTGTTTCGATTTTCGAAATTACCGATTACTCATTTACCCAAACTAATTGCTGTTCCTTTATCTTTGAGTGTAAAACAAACGATTTTAAGTATGTTAATAGAATGATAGCGATAAAATGTGACCTAAACGTTATCGCTGCAATAGTAATCGATTTTCACAACCCTATTTTTGTTTCAGATCAACGGATAACGGAACGCCATATTTACGTTTTTGAGTTATACTCTGTGCAACGTGCAGTGTTCCAAATTTAAAAATGTCTTTCACACGAGTGTTCTAAATTGAAAGACGGCACAGTGTGAGGTTCGTCGTGATAAAGACCTAAAAGAAATTTTGTATAATTTGAGAAATCTTTAGTACGATATTATAGATATATAGTTTTTACGTGACCACTTAAACCTTGTGCAGTTTTGTATAATGTTCGAGTATGGGTGAGCCAGGGATCCATAAGACTTGTGTGAGAGTGAATTCCGCCGATGAGGAGTCGAGGGACGAAGTGGACCATGATTTGCCAAAGAAAAACCCTTTTATACGGGTAAGTGTTACATTCAAATTTTAACACAAAATACTAGAAAAAGTGATTACTTTTTTGCATTTTTTTTTAGTTTCGGAAAATAGCGGTTTCCGTCCGCAGCCATCTGAAGTTCAAGCAAGACGTTTTTGTAATAATTTACACTTATTTAATAAGAAAGTAACGCTCGCCTCTGCTGCACTCGATGTTAACTCTCTCGGAACTGTGAATTTTATTTCATTTTTATGATATTCGGCTAGCGAAAATAAATCTCTAATCATCAATGGAACGTGTGACTATGTGAAAACGTCATCCTCGTCATTGCGGTGTTACGGTCTTAGTCTTCTCAACATATCAACGTCCCAAGTATTTTGCTCTCCACCTATTATTATTATTATTTAAACCGCCCAACGTGTCACGCGTAGGAAACTTTAAGAGAACTAGTTCTTCCTCTTCCTTGAATGCTTCTTATAATCACATCTAAAGGAAATTGGAGAAAAGCAAGCCGGACCAGTATTTGTTCCTGTTAGTGAAAGTTTTAAAAATACACGTAAGTAATAACTTCCTAGTTGTTCCGGTTGTCAGCTTTTGTACTATACTTAACGACATTCGAACGTTATGTATTCGGCTTTTATTTTGAATAGACTTATCTACGATTAAAACCATATCATGGTTGCTGAAGACAACTTATTTTAAGTTAGTAACAAATTTAATACATTGAAAAAGTTTTGATGTCTTGTCTTTATAAGAGATCAAGTAGTATAACGGTCTGGTTTGCTCAAACTTTAAAATTTAAAAATCGAAATTTTTTTCAATTTATTTTCGATTTTTAAATTATATAGTGCCTTCATGTGAAAAAACATGTGAAAAATATTAATGTTTTCAAACAAAAATAACTTTATTTTAGTAAATATTTGACACGCTCGTTGGTGTAATAGTAGCTATGTATGTATGCTAAGTATGGCTAATAATCACCGGGTAGAAGGTTCGAACCCCGACCGTGTCCAACATTTTCCAACCAATTTCTATTTTTTTAACAATATGAATAAATTTTTGGGTGGTAGGATTGTAGGATATCGGATTATCGTCACGAACCACCGTCAACAGATGAAAAAGTCGTCTAGTTTAATCGCGTTTCGATTTCAGTCTGTGAATTTCCGAATATCCAAAGCCAATACATGTCGATAGCGCGTCTTGCCTAGATGTTATATGGCTGGGGTATTTTACCTACCATCAAGTGTCCCCCGCCGCCTGTCTGTCGTCCTCTATCATAAAAAAATTATATATTTTGTAAAGTTACTCCACTTTTTTGTTGCTCAAAATACGCACCGTACTTGTCAAATTGCTTTTCGGACATTTTGTACCAAAGAAAGCCAAAACGCACATAATATTGATTTAGCCAGAATTAAAACTGGACATCGTGAAAAAGGTTTTACCCTTTTTCGGTTACACGACGAAGTGAAAGTATTATTTATCGATGAATTTGGTTTTATCGATGTCTTCAATGCGACTTGTGGGAGCGCACTTTCTAAGAGACAATAGTTCGTATGTTATGACGAATGAGAGGAAAATGAATTTATTAACCCTATTTGGGTAGATGATAAGCGTTTACAAGTTAAATCCACTCGTCTTGGAACATACAAATACGGAAGGAAAGTGTTTTTAAGAGATGTCTTTAGAAAACTTTTAAATTTTAACATATCGTTGCGCCTGATAGCATTATAGAACTGAAAAATCTATTCGAAAAAAAATACGACACGGGCGGGACTTGAACCGTCATCCAGAGGCTTGCTGCCCTGATCAATGCTACCGAGCGACATGCAATTTTCGTAATCTGAATAAATTTTTAATTAGTAAGATGTCTTCGATATTCACGAGTATTAGATTTTTATATAGGCGTGTCTATAGTGTATATATAGTAGAAGCTAGGTCTTCTTATAATTATGTCTAATGGAAATACAATTCTAAACATTGATTTACCAATAAATCCATTATACAATTGGATTTATCGTTAAACATATTTTTTGCGAGAATTGAGTGTGTACTTTAGATTTATCGTATCGTATTTATAGTATTTAATCGTCTAACCTTCCATATTCTATTCTAAGATAAATTACTAAGAAATCTCAGGCTAGAATGCGGTCATTAAAACCGGTTGCACCAATTAGCTCAGCAATGTTTAATCTGATAATAATATACGAAACAGGCGAATTCCATATAAACCATCCACTAGATTGCGAAAAGGTTTTCGCCAAGTACAGACTAATCGTATGGCATTACGTATATAGCTGTCATATATAATATAAAGCTATATTCGCAGAGATACAACTTGACGTAATTTCTTCTTCCCTCTCTAAGTTTACAAAAATCTTTCCTTTGAATACAAAAAAATACATAATATTTTTGTGACAATATTATATAATATTTAATAATGTGCGAGCCTCTATAGCGTCACTACTCTGTGAGGTTTTTGAACTCGCCCATTCATTCGTAAATTCATTTAGCTGACCTCAATCAAGTTTTGCAAGCGCCAAGCCTACTACTGCCTCCCGAGACGTAGCGTCTTAACAGCACTTGAACCCCCGTGAAAAAATAACCCTTATTGTATTGAATTATGGTTCATTTCTCTTTTTGAGACGAAATTACTTAATTTAATCGCCGCGTTCGTATAAGTATGTGTGATTTACATTCGACGTGATTGCACCTTTTTGTAACAGATTGATGTCGTTTTGATGATTTGAATCAGCATTTACAATTTTGTAATTTTTAACTGCGTCTCTTCCCGTGAACGTCTTTTTTTTCATTCATCCATGAATTATAAATATTTCGTATAATTAGAATATATAAAATGTAAAATAAAATTTTAAAACGCGTATAGGATGTCTGGAAAATTAAAATAAAAATAGGCTGAGTTTGAGTTTGAGAGATACCATAAATATGGAAGTCTCTAGAGGAGGCCGATGCCGGAGGGCAAGTTATGAACAGCTAAGAAAATAAATAAAATGTTAGTGTTTAAGGAAACTTGTATAGGTAATAACAATAATGCTTATCCAATTTTTCGATTTTTTTATATATTATATCTATGAAATATATTTAATTTATCATTTTTATAACCGAATGAACGGTTCTTGTTTGTTTTTTTCAACTACTTACTTACTGTTATTTTACTAAGTATGAATTTGACTTCAAGTTATTTATTACACACAATAATGCAACACATCTTATCTTTAAAGGGCTTGATAACAATGTAGGTTATCTTAGATGACAAAAATCATAAAATATTATAACTACACCATATAAACATTTACAGCTGATATCTTCGCTTCAATTATGCAAGAGCACAGCTTCGCCAGACGTGTATCTGTGAAAAATAATTGCCCATTTGTAATGTATTCGTGTTGCAACGTGCAATATTTTCATATTATAATACTCGAATGGGTCAATGACATCATTCTTTAATCACAATTTGATTCTCGGTAAAGTTGTTTTTAATTACTCAAAAATGCGCTTTAATCAATTCTTAGTCAGCTAGATACTATGTTATATATATTTTAATTATATTGAAAAGAAGAACTCCGTTTCTTTAGATAGGTATTTTGTTATGTTTTTGCGCGCTCGTCGGACTAATGTTGCATGGTTATTAAACAACAGGTAGCAGGTTTGATGCCCACCGGGTCCAACGTTTTTGCATTCAATTTATAATTTTTCTAAAACTCGTTACTGACTTCTTCTAAAATATGGATATAAAATGTATCACGTTCCACAAATAAAAAAGCTGTGAAAATTAATCGTCAATTAATGTTTCAGTCTGTGGATTTTCGAATATCCAAAGCCTAAATAGGTCGACGCATCTCAGTAAGATATTATATGGATGGGGATGGAAGGTGATATATCACCTTCGAACAAGTGATCCCGATGTTTATCTGCCCTCCTATCTCATAAAAAAGAACTGCATCAAAAACCTTGTTATTTACTTATAACTTGTAAATATTGTCTTTAATTAAAACACGGTTTAAAACACGATATATATTAGTTGCAGCCGTGACCACGTCACTGCAAAGTATTTGACACTTCGGCGTTGTAGATAAAATAATTTGTAAATAATGTATATAATATAATAATTAAGTTTAGCGATTATATTCGGCTGATTCATTTGTGAGGTCGGACCCGGGCTCTGCCACAATGGATGTGATGGTGGATTAAATACTTCAATAGTGTTCAAATGTCATCGCATTCTCATCTGCATTTGGGTCAGCATTCTTCAACCGAGGTCGTCCTTTACTACGCGTATTACTATTCAATGAAGCGTGTTATTCAATTTCTGATTTTATTATGAAATATATATGAGGAAAGTTATTAGTAATAATCACCGTAGGAAGAAATTGAAGAAGTACCTGCACCTAATGTATTAATTTTAACTGATACACTTTATAATCATTTTTATTTCATTTTGACATGAAACACATAACATATATTTATTAAGCCAAATTTCAGAATCTTCAAACGCCTGCCAAAATACATATAGCAATGTACGTGGCAATCATTTTTGCTCGTAATAAAACATCCGGCGCTTAGTTTGTTTCTTCTCAAATAATTTATTATGCAATTTTATTGATTTGATTTCTTTTATAGTGGTATATCACAAATAAAATTACCAGACTTTACAATTAATGTATTTTTAAATGATTTTCGGAGAGAATGGAATTAAAAGCCTTTTTGTTTACAACTATAGTTACTTCTACAAATTATAAAAGTTAAATATGATAATGTGTGTAGCATCGCAAAATAAAGTAAGTCAAAATATTATAAGTAAACTAGTAAACAACACATTCACAAAGAAACAGAAAGAAATTGTATACAAGATTGTTTTAATTATTCCGCACTTTACTGCAATTTCTTAGAAGTAGGTTTTATGTTATGCTATAGAGACCGTAATAAATGCAAATAGCCGAATGGTTCGCTGACCAGCCTAGGAACAGTAGGAATGGCCGCTGTATCGGTCAGGCGCCGCCACAACCTTCCGC